CAGTGGCATTAAGTTCATTCACATTGTTGTGTAACCAATACCATTACTGATTTCCAGATTTTTTTGGTAACATCCCAAGCTGCAACTTTGTACCCATTAACAATAATGCCCCACTCCTGCCAGGCCCTGGTAACCACCATTCTTCTTTCACATCAGTGGATTTCATGCCCATAGGTACCTCATACACATGGAATCAGATATACAGTATTTGTCCTTTCATGACTGACTTGTTTCACTTCATGTAATGTCAAATATTATACTTCATGAAGTGTAATGTTCCAGATTTATCCATGTTGTAGGAAGCGTCAGAATGTCCTTCCACCTTAAGGCTGAGCAATATTTCATTGTATCCACATTTTGTTTATCCATTCTACTGTTGACGGACTCTTGGTTGCATCTTCATTTTGACAATTGTGAATGATATGTGGAGTTTTAAGATACTGAAAGTATTTCCTGAAAATAGTGTCTCTGAGAACAGAGACCCCAGGTTGGGAACCCAGAATACCTCTCAATTTAGCATTTATGGGTGACAAATCCAAGGCCTTGAGAAAGCTATGATTTGCCTCGTTTCTCAGGGCCTTCCCCAACTATCTGAGCTTCTGCTGGGCTTTACTTCTTGGCCAGAGTGTCTAGAAGACTGTATGTTCCTTCCATGGGATGATATTTTATGAAAGTATTTTTATAATTATACATTTATTATTCCCACCAGAATCCTGTGTCCCAACACCTGGACCCTGTTAGAGTCCTTGTCCAGCTACCCCATGACACCAAGGGTAGACAATGCAGACTTCTGACGAGCCTCCCTTCGCTTATGGAGCCCATCAGGTCTCCTGAGGTGACTGCCCTTTCACAGGTGGAAAGTTTGAAGAGGAATTGGATGTGTGATGGGGGAAAAGGGCCAGAGGCCTGTTGACTTTGAACACCCCCACCCCAGAGGGGCTCTTGGAGGGACTCTGTGTCCCGTCCTGCCATGGGAAGCATGAGCCCTCGGTTGTTCTAATCATGGGTCTTCACTGATGAATGGCCTCTTGACTTCACCAAGACCATGCAGCACTCAACAGACCAATGTGAGCTGGAGGCGGGTGCCTGGCCTGGACCCCACAAACCACAATCTGCCCAGCCCTATACTGAGGACTTTCTCTTAGGGCCTGGAGGATGCACGAGTTGATCTGGGTTGGAATGGAGGGCGGAGTTGGCAAAGTAGGATGAGAGCCCCCCATCATTAGCCTTCTGTGTATTCATCCAAAAATCAAGGTGAGAGCCAAACCAAGAGCTACATGGACAAAGCATTGCTATTAAGCTCTGTACCTTTTTGCATCTGTTTCCTCAGCTCACCCCTCAGAAGTGCCACTGAGGAAAGATAGATGAGAAGGAGGTGACTCAAATGGGCTTCATTACAAGCAAACAATGTTGAATCAAGAATAGATTCCTTGTTGAATAACCCAATTATTTATGTTTATGGCATTTTATTGTTGGCTTCTCTCTCTCTACACCAACACTCCATAATCATTGTGGAAATTTTACAAAATTTAGATAAGCAAGGAGAAGAAAATTTTAAAATTATCCAAATGCCACAAGAGAGAAGCAGAGTCATTTTCTATGCGTATGCATCAGTGTGCTTTAAACTTTTGTAATGGTTTTATTAAGACATAACTTGCATACAATAAAACTGACCCAATGTCAGAGTACATTTTGATGGGTTTTAAGCTAGTATCTATAGTTGTGTAACCACCACCATTCTCAAGAGTTTCCAGCATCCAAAAAAAAAAAAAAATCCCTTGTGCCAATTTGTAGTCAACCCTCTCCCCCTACTCCTGGTCCCACATAATCATGGGTCTAATTTTGGAATATAATATGCATGGAAACATACAGTGTGGGCCTTTTGAGTCTGACTCTTTCACTTAGTGTGATGTTTTTGAGATTCACCTGTGTTGTAGCATATGACACTAGCTGTTCCTTTTTATTGCTGAGTAGTATTTCCTGGTTGGATAGATCACATTTTATTTGTGCATTTGATGTTCAAATATTGGTAAACACTTAGATTGTAGCCAATCTTTATGAATTATGAATTATGCTATGAAGATTATATACATGTCTTATGTGTATATATATGTATATATATGCTTTCAATTTTTGAATAAATACCTATGAGTGGTTTTACTAAGTTGTATGGTAAATATAGTTTATCTGTGTGAGAAACTTCAAAGTATTTTTTCTAAAGTTGCTGAACCATTTTGCATTCCCATCAGCAGTATACAAGAGTTCCTGCTGTTCCTGCTGACATTTAGTAATATCAATCTTTAAAAGATTTCCCTGATAATTGGTGATACCGAGCATCTTTTCATATGCATATTGGTCATTCTTCTATCTTTTATTGTACAGTATTTTCAAATCTATCTTTTAAAGATATGATTATATTATAGAGACTGGTACAAAAGTTTTCCCTAAATCTTAGAGGAACTTATTGCTAATAATTTTTAAACCTTTCAAGAATGGGTTTAAAGCAAAATATGTGGATAGAATGTGATAGAAGAGGGAAGGCTATTTTAATGGGTGATTAGAAATGGTCTAAGGAAGTGACATCTGAGCACAGATTTGATGGAAATGAGAGGTGTCATGTGATTAAGCTGAAGAATCTAGATAAAGAGATCATGTGCCAAGACTCCATGGAGAGGAATCAATGGAAAAGGAATGAGTGCATATCTAGATGGTATTGAATTTCAATTATATTTCTGTTCAACTCTAAACATTTATGGAGTATCCGTTAAATGCCAGAAATAGTAGTAAGTGCTTTGTGTCTGTTATTTATTTCTCACAACAGACCATAAGCTCCATGAGGAGAGGAGCTATGTCTATTCCACTCATCTTTGTGCACTCAGATCTAGGTCATTGCCTGGTACACAGGTGGTATTCAGTACATGTCTATTGAATGAATGAAGTTAAAAAAAAAAAAGCAGGCACTTTTTTTATTATTCCCTATATTATACATGAAAAGCCAAGTTGCAAAGAAGTAACTTGCTAAAGGTCAAGTAACTAGATGGTGCTGAAGCTGAGATTCAACTCTTGGTCCGTCTGACCAGGAAGCCCAGGTTTTTGCAATTCCCCCAAGCCACTGTGGATTCTCCTTCCTATATTTGGGAAACTGAGGTTCAGAATAAAAGAAAGAGGCTTGATGGAGGTCCCCTTTAATCCTAAAGTTAAAAACCAGCCAGTCACAGGCTCCAGACTGCTGGTTTGGCCACGAGATCACTTTTCTTTCACATTCAATGGCTTCCAAAGATGGAGAAGGAAGAATTATTTTAAGTAAAAGGTATAAATTCAGTTTGAATCAACACTACATCAAGCCAGGCAGCCATGGACTGAAAGAAATCATCCTTTTGACGCCTCTGCCTTGTGGTCATTGACGGGGCAAGAGCTGCGGAACTGGCTACAGTGTGTTATCCTGAGTTGTTTGTGTTTTCTCGCTTGCTGCAGTGCCCAGGTCTTTGAATCCTGTCACCAACAAATGCGGCTGTTGTCATGTGCAAGCAACAAAATTAATGTGGGTGGAAAAACCCAAGCTTAGTGATTTGAGCAAATTAGTTTATCTGTCACATAGCCAGTGGTGGTGGTAAATCACTCTCTGTTTGAGGAGTAATCACTCCCCACCCTTCTCTGTCTTCCTCTGTGGGGAGGTTAGAACAGCCAAAGCCAAGGTGTTTTTGTGACACAGAAATCTACATTTATGTGTTTTGATCATCCCTGAAGAGGAGCATTTTGGGTAGTGTATTTTGTTTGTTCATAATGCTATCTGGTGGGCCTTTGAAGCCACCACTCTTGTTCACAACCCCTCTCTTCATTCCTCTCTAGTCCATATCTTTGGAAATTGATTCTGTTACCTATGCTCTAAATTGTAGAAAATAAATTAATTATGAAAGTGCTTGGTGTTACTTTCTACTTTACATTGCATTGGTAGTTGTGCATCTTCATTGAGAATTAAGTTTCCAGGCAAAATAACCACCCCCACTTCCTCACCTGAGAAGGTAGACAGTAGGCTCTGTTACCACTGACAAACTGTGGTATACCCATTTGACAGATGGGAAACTGAGTTGTGTAGAGACCAACACATCTCCTTGAAATCCTTGCAGCTCAGAAATGGTGAAATCAAAACAAAATTTCAGGCTTTGTGAGGTACAGTCCAGGCTCCTTGACACAATACCAAATTATCTACTTGCTTGGCTCCCCACTTGTAACCATGTGTGACAGTTTAGATAAAACTTAATTCTGGCATGTGTACACCCAACAGATTTAATGTCTGTTGAGTCTGGAAACATGGACTTCCTCGCAGTTTGATGAGTAAAAGTAAAAAAAGAAAAATCATAAAGCGATATAGTACTTTCTATGATGGATATCATGAGTGACCAAGTCAGAAATGGAACAGTCTGAGGGGTGTCAGCAGCTTGAAATAAGTCTTGAAAACTGAGTTCCAGAGAAGGAAAAAGGTTTCAAGCATGCAGATCTTATCTGTTAAAGCTTACACTGGAGGCAAGGAGAGAATGACTTGGAGGGAGATGGAGCTGGAGACTAATGAGGTAAGAGGTATTTGTAGGAATCCAGATGAGAAATCCTAGGGTTGGCTAAGGTGGTAGGGATGGAAAAGATGCTGAAGAGATGTTTGCGAGTTCAACTCAACATTATCTGGTAACTTTAGGACATTAAGAGTGGGAGAATGGGTCATCATCTGGGATGCTATTGATTGCCAGTAACAGAAATATGACTCAAAACAGCTTAAACTAAAGGGATATATTGGTTCACATAATAGTAAGTACAGAGGAATGGTTGACCCAGAAGCTCAATAATATAATCAAGGACCCAGGTTGCCTCCATTCCTTGACTCTGCCATCTACAGTGTGAACTCCATCCACAGGTCGACTGCCCTGATGGTGCAGGATACAGCTGTCAGCTATCAGAGTGACATACTTTCTCTTATGGCTACATTTTCCTACAAGAACAAAGTAACTTCTCAGAGGAGGCAGGGGAGACACCGTGATCACAAAGATGGTTTTCCCAGGGCAAGGCTCCCCCATTGTACTCTGGGTTTGCTGACCCCTGAAATTTCCACAAATATGGGAAACTCAGCTGCAAAATTTCTGGTAGTAGTGTACTGCATTCATGAGCTCCCCTGGAAAGTGGGAAAAAAAGGCAAGCTATTTTCATTGGCTAAAATTATACCAAGTATCCATCCTGAACAAATTCCTCTGGTTAAGAGAAAGTGTTGTTCTGAATTCTGTGGTTGTTTTTTTTTTTTTGGTGGGGTTCTGGAACAGTTATAGGGGGTGGAATTACAATAATTGATTTAGACAAATCAAGGCCCATCCCTGGAACAAGAGTCAATCTTCAATCTAACTAATCTGCAGAAAGTGGTAAAAGGCTGAAAGGAACAGAATCCTCTGAGTCAAACTGTTTTAAATATAACAAAGTGAATCATTATCTGATATCATTTATTATTAATTAATTATCATACTTAATCATAAGAAGACCTGAGGCAGGGAAAGCCCAGGGTTAGTTAAATCAGCAGCTTGATGACACCATTAAGACCCAAGGTTTTTCACTTGGCATCTCCACTGTGGGTGTGAGGATATTACCTGCAGGCTACCTTTCCTCCAGCTTGAAAGACAGCCATGGTTGGCAAAATTTGTGACAATGTCCAAAGGAGGAAGAGATGTCCTCTTCCAGCATATCTCTCATAGAAGCAAGAAATCATTTCCCAGAAGTCTCTATCACACTGCACCTTAGATCACTGTGGCCAGAACTGTGTCACGTACCCATGACAAAACTTGCAAGGGAACGGAACTGCTATGGTTAATTTAGACTAATCAGACCCTTCCATCAGCTGGAATGGCACTGCATTTCCTGAAGACCCACACACGTGTCTGATCAACAACAGAGTTCCATAAGGAAGGAGGAAGGAATAGTGAACAGGACTTGGGCAGGCAACCACCAGTGGCTGCTGCTGAAGTTAACCAGGAGAACTCTAGAAAAATTTACTGGTTGGCTGGCAGGACAGTTGAGGCACTGTTAACTAAGTAACAGGACTCAAGAGAAAATGGCAAGCTCATTTTTGGACTGGGTGGATATGAGTTGCTCATGGGCCAGGCAGAGAAGTCCAGAAAACAGCTGTGGACAACAGAGGGTTGTCCACACTCTTCTTAAAACTCCTCTTCCCCAGTCCCTAAGACATCATGCTTCCAGGCCTCCCTGGTGGCGCAGCGGTTGAGTGCTGGGTTGCGAAGCTGCCCGCAGCTTCTGCAGCGCTGGTTCCATCCCCGGCCACCAGGTGAGGGTCCCACATGGCACGCAGACCTCTCCTGCTGCCCGCTGCTCCCCTCAGCAGTGTACTTCATCAGTCTGCCTGCTCTGCTCTCCTCTCTGACTCTGGTGAATTCTCTCACCCTCCTGTGCTTCTGACTGTACCCAGTGCTTGTATAAATAAATAAATAAATAAATAAATAAATAAATAAATAAATAAATCTAAAAAAAAAAAGACATCATGCTTCCCAGTTTTATGGGACTCATGCTCCTTCCTCTCTGGCATTTCTTCTCAGAGTCTACTCTGCACCTCTTCTGCCATCCATCCCCAGAAAATTAGGATTCCTCAAGGATTCGTTCTAGATCCTCTGCTTTCGATTTTATTTTATTTTTTTATTATTCTGTATGTTTCTTCTAGGTGGTCTCATTTTCTCCCATGGCTTCACTCATCCACCTCAATAACTTCAGCCAACCCTCTTTTCTAAGCTCCAGGTCTCATATCTAACCACTTATTAGGCATCTCAACTTGAACTGCCCTCCCCCTTCCATAATCTCTATAAGATTCTCTCCATTATTTATCACTGACAAACCTGGACAATTTTTTTCTCTATCTTATATAACTTCAAGTTGCCTTCTCAACTAACACTATTGCTATCATAAGTCTTGCCTGTCATTTCCATTCTTTACTCTCTTTCTCTGTTCCACACTATTTGTGGTGTCGTGGGGGGGGAGGGGGGCAGGGGGTGGAGGGGAGCTAACCTCTATAGATGAGGTTAGCTTAGATCAGGTTCCTTAGAGGAACACAAGATTATATTATTATCACCAATTACTCAATCTGCTCCCCCCCTCCATAATAGGAATATATATCTCCTTAGAGTACCTCCCCACAGATGCGTGCACTTCCTGGATGCCTTGAAATTGATCCTGGCTACTGATTTGCTTTGACCAATGGAAGATGAACAGAAGCTGTCAGTATCAACTCTGACCGGAAGCTTTAGGAGCCACGATATGGCTTGGCATTTCTCTTCTCCCTCTACCATGAGACCAAGATAGGCCATTTCTTTTTTCCCTCAGTTAGCCCAGGAGACCAGATACACAGAGCAGAGCCAAAGCCAACCTGTAGTCCTGACATGGACTCTGAGAAAAGAATAATGTTGTAAGATTTGGGGGGTGAGGGGTGGGGAGAACTGTCTGTTCACACAACATTATCTACAAAAAGCTAACAGAGTAATTGGTGCAAGGAGCAGAATGCCATCTCAAATGAGTGTCATTGGCTTTGGAGCCTCGTAGTCAGCAGCCAGGGAACTGTAGCCTTTGATCACTTGGACGGCAGGTAATGTACCAAACAGCTTGTGATTTTAGGTAAAGAGGTTGGGAAACAGGTTGTGATTACTGTGCCTTTGTTCTTTTAGATTCATTTGACAGGATATTTTAAGAGATGAGCTCAGAACAGAATTGGCTGTTTGCAAGCAGGGAGGAAAAGGAAAAGAGAGAACCCACAAGTTCCAGGACTGGCAGGGATGAGGGAGGCAAGTGTTGCTCATCTCCAAACAATAAAGCGTAGAAATTGAGAAATGCTTTGTGTAACACGGCCCATTAGTCTCAAATTAAAACTCGGCCTTGACTCCCCGTAATGACTTTGTTGGATAAAATGGCTCAGGGGAAATAGATAAAGAGGTTGGCTTTCCAACAGTAGCTTGGTAAGTTCGAGGTAGCTTAGCAATTATGCCTAGAAAGAAGCATGTCCAGAAAAGAACGATAGGTGTGGTAATTGGCATGTGGAACTGACTAGAATCACATTAGTAAAACACTATCCAAGTTTTAAAGAAAGGTTTACGGCTAAGATGTTCCAGTTTGGGTTAAAAGATTGTGACTTACTGGAGAGCAACTTTTGAGCTCCCAAATATCAGTGGGCAGAAAGGAAGCTGAGAAAGCTGCTCATCCCCCAAGGAGGATATGTTTTCCAGATGTGACCAATAAAAGATAATAGAGACAAAGGTCCTTTCTGAGGGTAACATTAAGAGCTGTGAACAGCGGTAAGAGGGGGTTACTCCCAGGGAGCTGAACCTGAACTTAATCAGGGCCTGTATCCTACACCCAGCAGGATTTTGCAATTCTAAGAACCAGTGATGGCTGTGTGCCTCCCAGTCTTTCTTTTTGATAAATATTTATTTCAGTATTTATTCTGTCCTCGTTCAACTGTTTCATATCAGGTGTGACATGTTTTTAATTGTATTAGTCTCTGGGCAAAGAGGAGCCACATCTGGATTTAACACAGAAACTATCAGCACTTTGGTGCTGATGTCATGATTGGTTGAGACTTTGGGTGTCACTCTCTGTAGGGAGAATAAGTGTATTTGCACTGCAAAAAGGAAAGAAATGAATATTTATGAGCAAGATTGTGTGAGAGAGTATTATGGTTACCATTTGTTAGCTTCTCTTCCTGTAGAGGATTATATATTCCTATATGTGGTTATCAACTTGGGGTGTCGGCCAAATATTTCCATGACCTTTGGCATCAGGCAAGACCAATTAGCTTTAGCTAAATGAATATGTGTGGATGTGACATATACCATTTCTGAGCAAAAGCTTAAGAACCACTGTGTGGTTTGGCCATTTCTATCTTCCTTCTGCAATGAGAACAAAATGAGTGCTGCTACGTCAGCCTCAAATGGGAAGATACACAGGGCAGAGCCACGGGAGACCCATGTCACTACCATGAAACCTGTTCAAGTTATAAATGTTCATTCTTGAAAGCAAGTGAGATTTTTAAATATTGCTTTGTACTGCAGCATAAACTATAGCCAAAATTGACTAATATAGTTGGTTTCCATATAGGCCCTGGCAAACACTGGCAGAAGGCTAGAGGATATAAGGAAGGGAAAGAATATGTCTCCCTGGTAGCATCACCAGCAGCAACTTTATCTCGAGCTGGGCCATTATGCTTCTGTCCAGAGCCCCTGAGCTCCTACCTCTTCCTCCTGGCCTTGTCCCTCTAGCTTGGAGATGGTAGTAGCTTCCTACTGTTGCTAATCTGTATTTGGCTTCTCAGTTCTTTGATTACTTATTGACTGATTCCCTACATTAAAGTCCCTCTACTTCAAACATGTTAAGCAGTTTTTATCTGGACTTTAAAGGATATACCATCATGCTACTACAAATCTTGGGGTAACTACTGACCAAGACACCACAAATGTTCTGTTCTGTTTGTTTGTTTTTTTTTAAGGAAAGATATATTTAATTGTGTAATTTTTGGACATATTCAGTGATTTATAGCAATTCCCAATATTGTACCACCATCACCACAATTCCTCTCCAGAATGTTTTCCTGTTCCCAAACTGATACTCCATATACATTAAATAACTTCTGAGATCCCCCTCCTCTGAATCCCTGGCAACAATTACTCTACTTTCTGTGTCTATGAGTTTGACTCAGATATTGCAAGTAAGTGGAATCATAGAGCATTTGTCCGACTTATTTCACTTAGCATTATGTCTTCAAGATTCATCCATGTTGTAGCATGTTAGAATTTCATTCCTTTGGTCAGGTTATCGGTCCTTCATCTTCCATTCCATCTAAACCATGATTAATTCCATTGATTCTACCTTAAGTATATCTATATAATAGTTCTCTTTTGCCACCTAAGTTCAGGGAACCACCATCATCTTTTATCTGGGCCACTGCAGTAGTCTCCTCTTTGGTCTCTATGCCTCTAGTCCTGCTAAACGTCAATCCAGGCTCCAAGTGACTAACAGAGCCACTTTTTAAAGCGATTCTGATCATGTGACTTTCCTACTAAAAATCTTTTCCGGATTCTCCATCACTTTTAGGAAAAAAGTTCAAACCCCATATCACACCTTCCAAGGCCCTCACCATTTAACTCTGACTCCTGCCTTATCCCCTTCACCGTATTAAGCCTTTCTTATCCTTTAGGCTCGGGTCAAAGGTCACTTCTTGAAGTTCTCTGTTAGCATAATGCAATGCTTTGTATTTCCTTTATCACCCTACTCATCCAAATTTACTGTAATTATTGTTGAAGTCTGTCTTCCCTTTACACTACAATTCCTATGAAGGCCAAGTCCATGTCCTTTTGAGTATTAAATCCCTACCACCTAGCACAATCACCACAATAAGTGCAAAAGAAAACTTGTTATTGATTTGAACAATCTCATGTTTTGGGAAAGGTGGTTAACACTATACATATAATATGTATGTATGTATATATATCTATAAACAATCTAGTGATTATCTAGGGAGAGGGTATTTCTAGAGAGCAGGAACACAAGAAGGACAATGATGATCAAGATGAAGAGATGAAGAGAAGGCTAAGAGAGAGAAGAAATGAATGGTAAGAGAAGTAGGAGGAATGTTAGAAGAGAAGGCAATTACAAGTTAAAGAAGAGAGCACAACAGGCAACTGGAGGTACCCCACAGGATTAACTACAGCAGAGAGGCCAGGGGATGAACTGAAAAAAGTACTATAGGATTTGATTACAGAGCAAGAAAGATGATGTATGAGAACAATTGGGCTCATTCTTTGTCAAAGTGAAACTGAGCACCTCCCCCATCCCCCCAACCCCCACCACAAGACCCAGGGCAAGGCACTTTGCCCTGGGCCCTCACTGACTTATCCAGACCCCATCTACTCTGAGGTTAGGGCAGGCTGAGCAGTGGTGGGCTCAGGGGAGCCCTGGAGGAAGCTGGCCTCAGTTGGGCAGGATGCTCAGGACACCAGGAGCCCTTCAGCTGGGCCAGGTGTAGCGATGCAGAGACGGGCAGCAGAGCTGGGACTTGGGTCCCAGCCACCAGAGCACAGGCCTTCCTAGGAGCCTGCCATGTTGGCCAGAGGCCCTCAGTCCTCCGGCCTCAGTCCTGGTTCCCTCACTGCCGCTGCCCTGCCGGAGCTCCTGGGCTCCACTCTCCGTCAGGAGAGGGGGCGAAGGTAAGGGTGGCAGGAGGAGAAGAAACCATCACGCTGATGCCTGCCCTGGGAGCCCCAGCCTGGCTTGAGGGACTGCCTGCAGAGGGCTGCTGAGGCAGCAGGGGACCCTGGCCAAACTTTCATCCCCAGGAGTCCTGGTTTCCAAACCTTTATAGGTCAGAAGGTATTTTTTTTCTCTCCTTTTCATTAACCCTTCCACTCACTGGTCCAGCATAGCTTCATTAAACTCCTACTTGAGGCCAGGTACTGTGCCATGCTGTGCCCCAGTGAGACATGAGAAACAAAACAAGAACAGCTTGGGTCTTTGGGCCTCACCACTCTTGCCTTCAAGGGAAAGTTACAAAGAACAGACTCATGCCCCAGAAAAATAAGTTCTTGGCATTTCATTCAAGTTGGTACTGATTGGCTCTCCCAACAATAAAACAAGAGCTAGGGTGCAAGTCCAGAGATCAGCAAGGCCTTATTATCTTGCTCTGAGTTGGCAGCAGGTAAAAGAGAAAGTGTGGTGGCACATGATTGCATCATTTCTGTCTGTTTATAAGTAAGTCACAGATGAAATTCTGGGTTTTTCCAAGTTTTCAGTTCTGTTCAAAGGCAGAAAAGTGACAGAGCAACTCCCTTAAAAAACTCTCTGAACTAGGTCTGGCTTAGTATTCACTCTGCAGACTCCTTTGACTTTGAACAATACATTATATTACTCTTTAGGCCTCCTGATGTTGGGTTTTAACTAGAGTAAAACACTTAATGTAGCTTTTAAAAGGTCGAGTCATGGCCTTCAGAAAATTCATGGGAGTTTGGATGGAGACAGCAGGGAACTTTTCCAACCAGTTGAAAATTTACCTTTACTAGGTTTTCATTTAATACAGGAAGCATCTTATTTTATATAATAGACATTGTTTTGAAAAAAAGTTTAAATTAAAATGGCACATTATCTTTAATGTCCTAGAAATACAAGATTGTAAAAAAAAAAACAAAACCAAGACCAGCAAACATTTTAATAAAACTGGGCAGTCTTTGAAATAATCATATAATCAAGTGATGAACATTCATTTCTTAATTTATAAATAGGATTTTGAAATATATACATATATCTATTTTAACTTATAGGATTGGGGGAAGTAAGTGATTAAATTTTTGCCCACAGCCTCAATCAGACTTTAGTTTTTGGGGTCCAGCCTGATACGAGACAAGCAGAAAAACAAGTGTCAAGATGCTTACACCTGAGAGAAAAGTTCTCACGGGACACTTAGCTCAAGCCTGGACTTTCACCATGCTTCCATCTCAGTCCTTGGGGACCTGGTGTGGGTTAGGCAAGAGGTGGGTAGAATGACTCCTCCGCTGGGGAGGGTGGGAATAACAAAGTTACCTTTCCTGAGTGCTTAGAATGAACCAGAATCTTCCTCCACCTCTTGACTTGAACCAACTCCGTTAATATACCCCCAAACCCACAAAATATTCCTACTATCTCCATTTCACAAATGAGAAACTGAGTCAGAGAGGTTAACAGCAATTCACCAGTTATACTCTAGAAAGTGGTGGAGCTGTAGTTACCAACCTAGTAACCATCAGGGGGTCAGTGATATGCCTTCACTTTGCTTAATGATGAGAAAAATGCGCACCTGTAAGATCGCAGGCAGGGTTAGTCTGGTGAAGCAGGTGCCTTTTGCGATAAAGAATGATTCTGCGTGAAAGGGTGTGTGAGAGTCAAAGGTGAGTTTCCAGTGTGCATGGTGGTGGAGAGGTCGGCGGTCAATTCCTACTTTGCCCCAGCCGATAAACTGCGCTTTCACCCCCTGCAGGAACTCCAAAGCCGGCCAGGGGGACCGGAGAACAGCGCCTGCCGCCAGCCACGTGGCTCAGCCCGGGAGGCGGTCCGCGGGGGCGGGGCCCGAGGGCGGGGCTGGGGCGCGGGGACGCGCGGGCCTGGCGGAGTGCGCATGCGCACGGGGTGGGCCGCTCGGGGGTGGGGTGGGCGAGCGAGCTCGAACTGCGTTAAAGGCCGCTCCCCGCCCCGCTGGCCGGCCCAGGTCCCCCAGTGCGCAGGCGCGCAGGTCTCTCCTTGTCAGTCGGCGCCGCGTGCGGGCTGGTGGCTCTGGCTGTGGCGGTGACGCGTCTCCAGCACCATGAGCGGCTTCAGCAGCGAGGAGCGCGCGGCGCCCTTCACCCTGGAGTACCGGGTCTTCCTCAGTGAGTGTCGGGGCCCGCGGCCCCACCTCTCCCGCCCGCCCATTCATTCCCCGCCTCGCCGCCTCTAGCCGCCCGCCCCGGCGGCCGTGGCCCGCGCTCGCCTCCTCGTCCCGGGCGTGGGCCGGCGCCTCGGGCCGGTCCCCTGGGCCTGGTCGGCCCGGCCCGCCTCTCCACAGGTCCGGCCCGCGGGCCCCGGGCCGCCGTTCCTTCTTCACGCGCCCGGCTGCGCCCGAACCTGGGCCAGGCTAGTTTGCAGGTGCCCGGGCCGGGCAGAGTCTGAAGGGAAAGAAACCCTTGAGTCACCCCAGAAAGGGGCTGGAGGTAAACTAATCCCCCTAAGAGGATTACCTTATTTGGAGGAAAGGTGGGGGGAAGGGAGAGTGCGCGACGAGGGGGGCTGTGCCTCCCTGAGGACCGTGATTCCGCCGCTGTAGCTCAGATTGTGCCGGCTAAGCGGTGTCGAGCCGAAACCCTACAGTCGGGGAAACTGAGGCCGGGACTGGGGTTCATCCATGGAGGCGCCGACCCATCCCTCCGGGGGCTGGGGTGCGCTCTCGCCGCGTTTTCCGGTAACTGTGATGCTGGGAGGGCGCCTTATGAAACAGAAAGCTGTTTTCTTAAGTTAAACAGGTGACGTCAATCTGAGAAGCACGAGTCGCCAGGGCCAAGTTTGCACCCCTTTGCAGGGAGCAGCCCTCGGAGGGTACCTGCCCCCCGTCGGCCGGGGAGAGCTGCGCTTGCAGCCTGGGAGGCTGCAGGCTGGCGGCGCGGGGCTGGGCTGGGCGCACCGCCCTTTCGCCTTGTGCTTGGAGAAAGCTACCTTGGATTTATCTTTATCTTCTGTCGCCTCCCCGACCCACCCTCCCACCCCGCAAGCTACTAGGAATAGATTATTGAAGATAACGGAGGCGATTGGAAAGGTGTCTTCAAAGATATCTCAGTTTTAACTTCTTCACGATCTCCTTGGGAAGGAAGCGATGGGCGTGTGCGGCAGATCCCGTCTGTGTAAATGGCAGGAAAAATCGGGGTGGAGGGGACAAATGGGAATACTGAAAGAATAAACAAATCTAGCAAAAAGTGGCCTGTGTGGGAGAAAAAGGAACCTGAACCCTGAAGTTTACACACTTAGTTGAAGATTAGACAGCTGTGTAAAATCCACTAAATTTCAGAATGAAGTAGCAAGGGCAGTGCAGAAACTTTTGATGAATAATTCACTGAACTATTTTCCTGGAAACGGTATTGGTTCCATAAAGCACAAAGCCACTCCTTGGCTTTGGCACTGGCTAAGGTAACTTTTTATCAGATGGAACTCTCTGAAACTTAAGTACCAATAATTAGAAACGACTGTATAATTATATAATTTTAAGTTGTTTTTAATCATGAATTTCTTAACAGCCTTCCTTAACAGATTTCTTTTTTTTTTTTTTATCTATATAATGTAACATTTGTCAGTCTCTTTAAAACTGATAGTAGGTTGAACCATTGATTCTGAAGGGGCTATTATGGGTTTGGGATGGCGACTGTTTAATTTTTCCTATTAGACTTTCATTTCTTAAATGGGAAGGGATGCAATGTCGACTGACTCTTAGATTTCTTAATAGTAAGGAAGTTTTAAAATTGCTTTTTGGATATAGTACTTAGGTCTCTAGAATACAGATATCACCTGTGAAAGTGTTGATGATTCTTAAGAAAAATCATAATCTAAGATGGCTATATTCCTATAACATCACTTAAAGCAACATGGTTTATCATTGAGCAAATTGGTCCCTTCCCAGTCCCCCCAACTCAAGTATTCCATTAATTCTATAAACTGCTACCTGGTGTAATAAGATCAATCCAAAATAATTTGATTGCCTTTTGCATACTAGCTCTGCTAGGCTCTGGGGATACAAAGGATGTGTATGAGGTAGTCCCTGTCCTCATTATAGAGGTTAGCACCTGTTAGATGCCTAAGGAACACATAGAATGAAAACCTATCCCAGTCTTAGAGGAGGATTAGAACAGGTGAAATATACAACCATTTTTTCTGGTGTGGGAATAAAATTTTGGTGTAAAGAATATCTACTCCACCATTCTAGTGAGTTGTGTTGATATGGAGGAGACCTTATATGTATGTGGTATATGGGGAGCCTCTGTGCCGCCTCAATTTTATTACAAACTTAAAACTTTAAAGAAAAACCGAAAAACTTGTCTGGAAATTAACCCAAAAAAGTACTAACTTGTTCTAATTTATTTTGCAGAAAATGAAAAAGGACAATATATATCTCCATTTCATGATATCCCAATTTATGCAAACAAGGTAAGTGGCCCTTATCTCTTGAGCTTAATCTTTTCTTTTTTAAGATTATTTATTTATATAGGAACTGGGGTACAGGCCAGATTCGTGGGAGGGTGAGAGGATTCATCAGAGACAGAGCGGGGAACAGAACAGGCAGACTGATGAAAATACACTGCTGAGGGGAGCAGCTGGCAAGACAGGAGAGGTCTGCGTGCCATGTGGGACCCTCTTCTGCCAGCCAGGATTGAACCTGTGCTGCAGAGGCTATAGACAGCTTCACAGCGCTGCGCTCAACCGCCTGTGCCACCAGGGGAGGCCCTTGAGCTTAATCTTTTATATCTGTTCTCCACAATGCATTTTTTTATGTTTTAATCATTTTTAAAGTGCTTCTTGTGCTGTGTGAGTTAAAGGTGCATTGATAAGTAGGAAGTCAGTCTTAAATTCAGATTATTTGATTAAAGAAGCAATTATAAGTTGGTGGAGTACAGGAATGGAAAAAAATACTTTAAAGCTGACTTGGTTAAAAAAAAATATCCCATTGGTCTTTATGTGGATTTGGAACTAAAATCTTAGTACTTCATTAGTGGTTTTAAAGTTAACCAGGGAGCCAGCACAACTTTGGGCTGTGGAATATTTATTAAACAGTAAAAATAAACTAGATTATTCAGTGAATACAGAAAAATTCAGTACTTTTAATGGACTAGTAGAGTTAAGATCTGCAAATAGTTTTAATAAAGGTAACACCACAGACTTTTAAAAAGAGATGTCTTCACACCAGTATGTGGAAGAAATCTGACTTTAGTGCAAATTAGTTGGTTTACCAAAATTGATTAGAAGTTTACTTTCCTTTTCTATGGGAAAAAGTCTACAACTATATATTCTAAAATATTTGTGATCTCTAGATGGTTAGAATTGCTAATGACTCTTGTTTTCATTTTCATTTTGTTGGCATTTGTTTATATTTTCGTTTTTGCTTTGTTAGATGTTCTAATGTTTTTACAAGAGCATGCATTGTTTGTACAAACTTAAAATAAGTTTTTGTTTTAATATAGCTTGTTTTAGTTTCGTTCCCAATAGAAGTCTGTAGTGTGTTTAGGAACTGATAGAAGGACTGATACCTGATTCTTTTTTTATACCTTTAAATATTTGTTTCAAATGATGCCCACCTGAAACTTATATAGTATTAAAGTGCATTGTGACTTCAATTAAAATTTTTTTTTCATTCAGCCAGGAGATTGATTCACAGTGAATGCAAATCATTTTGAATTGTAAAAGCTATGTAGGTTATTGATCTCCCTTAGTTAGATGTTGATACATAATACATGTGAGCATAACATTCAAATAAGAATGTCTACAATAATTATGAAGATGAAATCTTATCCTTGTGTGTGTGTGTGTGTGTGTGTGCGCTAAGTTCTACTGGGTTTTTCTTTTTCTTTTTTTTTTTTTTTTTTTTTTGTGGTTGACTATCAAAGAGAAACAGTTTCATTGTACTCCATCAGAAAGCTGTTCTACCTAAACTAACACTTGAACACTGGCGGGAAATTCAGCTGGCCTGTGGCTTCTGAAGAGCTACCAGAGTTGGGCTCTAGCTGGAAGCATTGGAGCAAACAGCCCAAGCCAATTATGTGCCACAGTTACAGAGGGACCTCTAATTGGCTTGTGTTCTCCTGTGGGATTCTCAAAGTTGTATTTATTCAGAAACTCTAATTTGCTACATCTGATATCCTGGGATTTGATATGAACCTACGGCATCCTTCCTGCCTCATGAATTGGCGTCACTGGTGGGTTTGTTATCTGTTTGTTGTATAGCTAGTATGTATGTCCAACTACTTTGCAGTAATATGCCATCTTGAGTAATGAACAGGCATAAGATGACCCTAAGATTATTATGGTACCTTAGCATGCAGATGTGCTAAGGAAAGAAAACATTTTCCTGACATATATCTGTGTGTGGGTGTGTTCATACGTCTCTTAGTTTACTCTAGCTGCTAAAACAAAATGCCTATACTAGTTAGCATATAAAAAGCAAAAATTGATTGCTCTCAATTCTGGGAGCTGGAGGTCTGAGATCAGTACCAACATGGTCTGGGGAGGACCCTTTTCCACTTTCAGACTTCTCGCTATGTCCCTTTTGTGATGAAAGAGGTGAGGGATCTCTCTGGAGCCTCTTATAAGGTACTAATCCTATTTATAGATGTAAGTGATTGGACAGTTTTCTAGCCAGGGACCAGAATAATCTTAACACTTGTAGTGCCTTATTGCTGCTTTTAGTTATCCCCAAATAGGAAACAGATTATATTTTGGTGTCAAGTAAAACACCTGTAACTCCTTGTAGTGTTATTGGGACTGCTCATGCCTATAATCTAGGATTACTCAGATGAATATGCTGTCTTTTTTTTTTTTTTAAGATTTAATTTTATTTATTTGTGTATACAAGAACCAGAATGTAGCCCAGTGGTGCAGGGAGTGGGAGGATTCACCAAGACAGAGCGGGGAGCAGAACAGGCAGATCTGCTGAAATATATAGCTAAGGGGAGCAGCAGGTGAGAAGGAGAGGTCTGCGGCACCATGTGGTTCAGCTCCCTGACCAGGGATCGAACTCATGCCACAGTGGCTGGCTATAACTTGATAGCGCTGAGACTTTAACCCCTGTGCCATCATGGAGGCCCCTGAAGACTCTGTCTTTGTTCTACTTTGGACTGGCTCAAAAGCACAAAGTCTTGTGACAACTCTGGATTTTACCAAATCACAGTGAACCTTAGCATTTCAGAGTCCTGCCTAAAAAACAGGAAAGAGATTTTTTTTTTTTAGATTTTTTAAGAAATATTTATGCATACAAGAGCTGGGGTATAGGCCAGAGATATGGGAGGTGAGAGGATTCACCAGAGACAGAGTGGGGAACAGAACAGGCAGACTGACTGAAATACACTGCTGAGGGGAGCAGCGGGTGAGACAAGAGAGGTCTGCTGCGCCATGTGGGTTGCTCCCTGTCTGGCTGGGGATCGATCAAACTCATGCTGCAGAGGCTGCGAATTGCTTCATAGTGCGGTGCTTAACCCCTTGCACCACCAGGGAGGCCCTAGATTTTTATTTTTTAAGGAAGTTTAGTAAATACAAAACACAAGAGTGTATAGCAGATTATTCGGTATTATATCTTAAACAAAAGATCCCTTTCATTAAGCTGGTTATGGAAGAGTGGTTTTTTTAAAAAATATCCAGTGTGATTAAGTTCATGTAAATAGACTTTTTTATGTGGCCATAGACTTAACCCCAATGAAATAATTCATTTGAAGGGTATTAATAAAGCAATGTACAGTTCAATCATCTTTATAAAGAAAAAAATGCCAAAAAAAATTCACATTCTACTCCATTCAGGACCTTCAGTGTGGACAGCATTTGACTTGGTATATAACCATTGGGTAATCAATTCAGCCAATTCCGGAAATCCTTGTGACTCAGATAACCTGCTTGGATTATTTCCAAATCCATTGTAGGGGGGAAATGCAAAAGCAAGGGCTCACTGGATTTTTGTTTTTTTAACTTTAGAAGTATCCTTTGTTCTGAGTCCATTTTATGACCAAATATAAAACATCTATAACTCAAGAGTATTTTCTGACATAAAACTTCTGATATATTAGAAGTTTAAAAAATTCCAAACATGAGCTGCTCTCCAGCCCGCCTATAACTCTGTAGGTGCCTCTTTCTCTTTTCTCCTTTTCCTAATAAACCTATCCTTTTAAAATGTTTAAAAAAAAAATTCAAACATAATTAGCACAAACAATGTGAAGTACTGGATAGCTTAAAGCTTTATCTAAATCTGAAAGTGTTCAAATATCATGACTGATTTTTAATTTTAGAATTGGTTATTTTCCTATACCATATCTTAAACTTTAATGTTCAATACTTGTTCTAACAAAATAGACTTCAATTTGTTTTTCAGGTGACTATTGGAAACATATATAAATATGGAACTTTTCTCTCCTACAAAAAAGTTAAGCTTCCAATCAAATAAGTAGATATTTCAATGAAGAAATGTCACCAAATTAGTAATTTAAAGAGTTTATTTTCCCCAACCTTATTTGTATATAGAATGGTTGGGTTTTTGTTTATTTTTTAGTTTTGTGTTTTTCAAACCAAAGTAAAAACAAAGAACAGACTAAAACTGGTAACAGGGCCTCCCCGGTGGCGCAGCGGTTGAGCGCTGGGTTGCGAAGCTGCCCGCAGCCTCTGCGGCGCCGGTTCGATCCCCAGTTGCTCCCTGGCCACCGGAGGAGGATCCCACATGGCGCGCAGACCTCTCCTGCCGCCCGCTGCTCCCCTCAGCAGTGTTCTTCGGTCCTTGTGCCTGCTCTGCTCCCCACTCTGGCTCGGTGAATTGTCTCACCCTCCCGTGCTTCTGACTGTACCCAGTGCTTGTATAAATAAATAAATAAATATTTAAAAAAAAAAAAAATAAAAATAAAACTGGTAACAACATTAACTAAGAATAAACTCTTAATTTTCTCCCTCAGATGAGCTTTACGATGACTAAATATTGAAAACATATTCTAGCCATAATCTCTGCGGTGTATCCACTTTGTCAAAAAAAAAAGTTGTGATGATTAAAATGCATGTAATGTGCAGGCATAATGCCTTGTCTATATAGTAGAGTTTCAATACGCAATAACCAAAAAGATAAAAGTAGCATGATACGATGATTGGCTATTTCTGAAGCCTTTCTCAACTCTGTTAAAATAAAGATCACTGAACTAGGAATAAGAAATCTTGATTCTAGTCCTAATTTTACCACTAACTGGCTTTTTGATATTTACTTAAGGTGTATGTTTTGATGTTTTGATATACACATTGGGAAGTGATCACCTCAGTCAAGCTAATTAATCTCTCCATTACCTTATATATTTTTGTATACATTAAAAACACTTAAGAGCTTCTCTCTTAGCAAATCTCTTAGAACATGCTACACATTATATCTTCAGAATATAATCATCAAAATTACTGTCAGGACAAAATTACCCTTT